TTCTGCTTGCTTGCTTCTTTAGAATTTCCTCAAATGTTCTGGCTCTTAATAGAAGCCCATGTATGTGTGTATGTATATATATATATATATATATGTATGTATCTATCTATCCATCCTTCTATCCATCCATCATCCATCCATCATCCATCCATCCATCCACCCACCCACCCAACCACCTATCATTTATCATTTCTCTTTATTACTGGCATTGATACATTTTATTTGAAAATATGTTTAGCAATGTTTCCTGGAGAGACTATTTATTCAGGAGAGAGTGTAGATGTTTGCTATTTTGGGGTGCATTGTGGTAGGGATTGAACACAGGGCATCAGGCATGCTAAGCACAGCTCTACCACTGAGCTACACCCCAGCACCAGTGTATCCATACTTTTAAAAATTATGTTGGATGGCTCGTGATTTCTTTTGGGATAAAATTCAAAATCCTCTTGTCAGCCTAGGAGCCCTATAGCTTCTGGACTTCCCCTGACCCGGGGCTGAATGCTCTTCATTAAGTTTTTCCCAGACATTGAAAAATGTCTACCTATCTCTACTCTTTGTGCATAAGGTTTGCTCAGCCTGGAATATTCTTTTTTTTAAAAAAATTAAAAATCTATTTATTTAGGTACTGGGTATTGAACCAAGAGCCTTTGCACTGAGTTACATCCCCAGACCTTTTTAAATTTTTAAAATTTTGAGACAGGATCTCACTAAGTTGCTAAGCTGTCCAAGATGAGCTCAAACTTTCCATCCTCTTGCTTCAACCTCCTAGAGTGCTGAGATTACAGGCCTGAACCACCTGGGCTGGCTTCACCTTGGAGCGTTCTTTGTCTGTCCTTTCCCCCCTTCTATGCTGTCACCCTGTCCTCCTTTGTTGTTCAACCCAATTCACCTTTTAGTCTGGATGCAAACACATTTCTTCAGGGACTTTTCCTGACCCTCTTGGACTCTATCAGGTATCCCTAATACCCAGTCACATTGCTAGCTTTGTGTCTAGCTCTACTACTGGTTTATCTGAAACTTTAGGATAAATAGGATCAACTGTAGAGACTTCTGAAATACAGATCTCAGGACTGCACCCCATGATTTCTAATTCACTATAGCTATAAGATAAGATTAGAAAAGCTGCTTTGTAAAAACATTTCCACCAAATTCTAGTTCAGGTAACCCAGTGCCATGCTGTTCAGAAACACTGCACTAGATGAAACTATTTCACTTTATGTTTTCTATCTCAATTTCTTTCTTTCTTTCTTTTTTTTTTTTTTTGGTACCAGGGATCAAACTTGGGTCCTTGCGCTTGTGAGGCAGGTGGTGGAACCACTGAGCTAAATCCCCGGCCCCCACTTTATGTTTTATACCTATTCTCTCCTATTAGAGAAAAGGCCACAGAGACAGCAAATTTATTGTGTTCAGTTCTATTCCTCAAAGAATGCATGATCAATGCCTGATAACATTGGAAAGTTGAAATTAACATTTTCAAATGCATAAAAGTTTACTGGGAAAAAACCCCCTTTTAGGTAGGTAAAAATTATATATATTTGCTATTTAACTACCAAGGAAATCCTGGGAGAAAAATAGAGAAAACTATGAATTTGCATGTAAATACAGTAAAGTCATGTTTTGATAGAGGAGGTGACAAAATCTGTTTTGTCTTTGGGAGAAAATGGAATCAAAGAACTTGGTATCACAGATGCTCATATCTTGAAGCTGAGCTCTTTACCTTTAAATCCAAGAGTCAACAAGAAGTGTGTTAACCTCCGAATGTCATGTGTATATTATGGTTTGTGTCTCTTTTTTTGGAGGTACTGGGGATAGAATCCAGGGCTTCACATATGCTAGGCAAGTGCTCTATCTTATTGAGCTACACACCCACCCTGGTTTATAAAATGTTTCCCACAGGCCATGTGTTGCCAGACACTGTGGTGCATGCCTGTGATTCTAGCTACTGAGAGGCTGAGGCAGGAGGATCACAAGTTTGAGGCCAGCTTGGGCAATTTAGTGAGATCTTGTCTCAAAATGAAAAATAAAAAAGGCTGGGGACATAGTTCAGTGGTAGAGCACTTGCCTAGCATGCATGGGGGCCTAGGTTCAATCCCCAGTACCACAAAACAAAACACATGTGTTGAAGGCATGGTAGCCATCTTGTGGTACTACTGGGAGGTGTGGAATCCTTAGGGGGTGGGGCTTAATGAAGTCACTGAGAATGTATCATTGAAGAGGATCTTGGAAGCCCAGTCCCTACCCTCTGTCTTTGCTTCCTAGCTTCCTTGGAATGAGCAACTTTGTTCCATCATGTGTTCCCCACCATGATACTCTGCCTTTTCACAGGTAATCATAGACTGAAACTTCTGAAGCCAAGAGGCAAAACAATCTTTCTTCCTTATAAAGTGATTATCTCAGCTAGGTGTGGTGGCACCTGTCTGTAATCCCAGCACTTCTGGAGCCTGAGCCAGGAGGATTGCAAGTTCAAGGCCAGTCTGGGCAATTTAACAAATTAGCAAGATCCTGTCTCAAAAATTAAAGAAAGGGGAAGGGGTTACTGGGGGAGGTACTTTAGCGTGAGGCTGTGGTTTCAATCCCCAGTATGGCCAGAAAAAAGTTGATTGTCTCAGGTATTTTCCATAGCAATGGAAAGCTGACTAAATACAGCTTAGAAATGTGTATTATTAGTTTTTTCAACAATTTTTAAGGACTCTCTATGTTTTGGCTGAAAAATGCTATCCAAAGCCAAAAGTGGTGGCACATGTCTATAATTTCAGCATTCTGGGAGGCTAAGGCAGGAAGATCATAAGTTTAAGACCAGCCCGGGTAATTTGGCAAGGTTCTTTAAAAAAAAGGGCTGGGGATGTAGCTCAGTGTGATGGCCCTGAGTTCAATCTCCAGTACCAAAAAGCAACCAAACAAACAATGGTATCTAAGAGTAGCAGCTGAAGGAGAAGGGCTAAAGCAGGAGAAGAAATGGGTTGCAGTAGTGGTAATAATAACAATGATAATAATGATAGCAGTACCTTCTTATTTAATCCATAGAGCTACATCTGTCTCTAATTTTACTAATTTCTAGAACAGAAATAAATACCATACTAATTTATTTATAGAAAAATTATTTACCTTTGACTTGTGAAATAGATTTCTTGGTATGGGCTTGCTAGGATCTGCATGATAAAAGTTATCTGTGAGTGGAATAGCAATTCCCATAATAGATGGAGGCCTGTAGTTTACCTGCAAGTGATTAAACAAAGAAAATGTATGGTTCATTATTACTTACTTAGTCTGAAAACATCTTGATTTTCTAGAAAAATATTCAATGCAAAGATTTCACTTTTGGCTACAGGTATTAAGGTAAATTTCTGTTCTCTTAACACTCCTACTTTTTATTTTGTGGAATTTTGACAACCTCAACCAATAGTAATATTACTTGGAACTTGTATGTAAGTGCAAACTACTTTTAATACCTAAAATAGCTGCTATAAAGTCAATGAAATAATGTCTGAGCATTTGATAAAAGAGGTTTGATATAGCTGAGTAATTATTCAATTTTGGTTGTTTTATGTCATAAAGAAATTATAGGTAGTAGATTAATTTTTATTTAATAAATAGTTATAGATTCTGACAAGGCAAAAAATAAAAGTATTGTACTGAAATGGGACCAGTCACACACATTACTTTAGGGCAAGTCAATCTAAGGGTAAATAGTGTATATTATGAAAGCCCAAGATCATTTAAAGGATAAAATATTAACAATGATGAGCCAAGTTACTAAAAAAGGTCATTATTTCAGAAAGTTTTCACAGTTTAGAAATAAATACTATCACAGTCTCAAAATGAAATGAAGATTGAGAAATGACTGTGAGGTATTTGTGCCTCTTAGAAAAGAAATGCTCAAATGGAATGCCCATCTGAGCACCCAAAAGGGATATGTCACTGGCATTCTCAAACCATATGTACTTAAATTCTTACCGGCAAGGTTTTGATCTGATTAAAACCCTGACTGTCTTTGTGAACTCCACTAATCCAGTCTTCATATGGGATATGTTGGCTAGGAACATGATGCATAGAAGTGAGATAGCTGCAGCTGCTTTTCAAAGTTGGCACCAGCGTTGTCACAAAGCATTCAGTGGATGCTCCCCAGATAATCAATGCTAGTGAAGTGGAGCCCTGGATATTTCCAGATAAGTCAATGTTACTTAAATGAACTGTATAGGTTGAACTATATCCACCCAAAATTCACTATGTACTCATATGAGATACCCAGTACCTCAGAAAGTGTATTTGGAGATAAGGCCTCTAAAGAATTAATTAAGGTAAAATAAGCCATGAATGGTGGTGAATGCCTATAATCTTAGCATTCTGGGAGGCAGGGTCAGAAGAATCATGAGTGATCCCAGCCTGGGAACTCAGCGATTTAGCTAGACCCTGTCTCAAATAGAAACAGAATGATAAGATTGACCATAAAAATCTGTTTAGAATAAATCATAAGAGAAAACATATTCTTTTCCAGGAAGAAATATTACAATCTAATTGGTTTTGAGAAACATTTGGAAATGAACAAAGATTAAGAAATTTATATCTACTTCCTATTTATAAGACTTCTTCATTCACTGATGAGCACCTGGATATTTGCTTTGATGATATAAATAAAATAACTTCTATTGGCTTACATTTTGAAAAAAATTTTTACTTGGCAATTACTATATTTCATAGGTAGGTTTTTGGTAGGAATTTATGCACAGTAAATATATTTGATCCTTGAATAATATTAAACATTCAATGAAATTTAATACATTCTGTTTGACATTTTAAAGTATTTTTGGAACTTTAAAAATGCTGAAATATTTGTAATTTTAGTGATATTATAGATGTGGTATATAGTTTTTTTCTCTGCTTCCATATGCTGTAACCACTACAAATGATGTATTTTTATGTGCTCTGGCCAAAAACATTGAATACAAATTCAAGCAGGAACCTACTATAAAAGAAAACATGGGGCTAAAGGCACAGATAAGTAAGGTCCAATGAAGCAAACAAAAATATCCAAAAAGATGGACAAGTGTCTTGATTTCAACCAGGGGAAGAGAATGGAATTGTAGGAGTCTTTGATTAAAATTTGGATAAAACAATTATGTATTGTGTGAATCTTTTTTTTTTGGTACCAGGGATCGAACTCCAGTCCTTGTGCTTGTGCAGCAGGCAGCGAAACCACTGAGCTAAATCCCCGGCCCTATCATGTGGATCTTGTCTGTATTTTAGGTCAAACAAATCAAGTATTAAAAATAGTTTTTTTTTTGTTTTTTTTGTTTGCCAAAATTGAGAAAATATAGTTGGGAACAGGGTTTTTTCAAATATTATTTAAAAAATTTAGGGATGATGTGGCATTGTGGTTATGTGAGAGAGTTAATAAATGTGTTTTTTATAGATGTTTATTAAAGTATGTAGGAGTGAAATGATGATGTTGTCTATTTTAAGCTGTACTAGAATATAAACAAAAAATTAAATAAAAATGCAAAAAGGTAGGATGATTTTTGAGAAGTTTAATTTGGGTGGTGGGTATATAGGAGCTCTATTTTTGTCTATATCTGAAAGTTTTCATGATAAAAAAGATTTAGGATATGTAAGGGTATGTAGGAAAATATTGATTTAGGAAATTAAAACATACTGTAGTTAAAAACATGAGCAAATTTCTAAAAGTGTGTATGTAATGCTCTCTTAGTTTTAGGGAAAAATTAAGAAAATATTGTAAGTTAATAGTTACCAAGCACTTTCTAGATGGTAGAATTTTTTTTTTTTGCAGTGCTGAGGATTAAACGCAGGGCTTCACTTATGCAGGGCAAGAGCTCTAGCTCTGAGCTACTCTCCTAGCCCAGATATTGTTTTCGGTGCCCTATTTATATTACTCACATTTAATTCTTAAAACAACCCTATAAGGTAGGTAAAATTACTATCATCTCCATTATATAAATGAGGAAACTTAGTCACAGTAAAGTAACTTTCCCAAGGCCATACAGACAGTACCAGTGTGAGATGTACCTAACTCAGGTAGTCTTCTCCAGACCTCACACTTGTTACCTATATTTTGAACCTGTACCCTGCCTTTAAATACTCAGTGTGGTAAAAATGCTTAGTCATCTTGATAGGTAGGATTAAGTATAATTTTTATCTTTTTCTTAGCTTACATTCTAAACTTTTTCTAATTAATAGACTTTTTTGTAGCTAAGGAAATCTTACTTGACGAAAAGATTTGCTAGTTACGGAAATCTTCATTAGATAACTATCAGCATCATCAAAAGAGCCTTCAACTTTAACTTCCAACAATTCTGGGTTTCCAACTAATACTTTCAGTGTTGGTACTTGAAGTGTTTTGAGACCTATGGAAACAACATCAATAGTTATATATTACATAATAACAAGTATAAACACAATTTAATGACTGGGTAATCAGGATTTTAGAACATCTACAAAATCTATTATGAAGGTGATGTAATGGCTGAAAATATAGTTAGCACTTTACATAATGGTATCTTTAATACTTCTTAGAAGGGGCCGGGGATTTAGTTCAGTGGTTCTGGTGCCTGCCTCGCAAGTGCAAGGTCCCGAGTTTGATTCCCGGTACCCCCCCCCCCAAATACTTCTTCGAAAAACTTAACCTCATAAATATTTTCTCAGAAAATATTACCCTCCTCCACATTTCATTTCTCAACCAGATTCTCAGATGTATATCAAGGTCATCTGGATAATACTGATTATGTTGGCTGCTAAGTAGGTACTGCTAGGGACAATCAATCACCCACACTTGTGGTAGCAGGGGAGAACTGCTACTCCTTTAAAGTGACTATTAATTTTCCTTCAAAGTTATTGTTTTTTGGTTTCAGATAGGGTCCTCCAGAGAGAGAAGAAACCAGAAAAATTGCAAAGTCATGATGATTCACTCTTTTTAGACAATGATAATAAATTCTCTGTCCAGAGGCATTCTTGTCTGCCATTTTTCTGTGAACAGGTGATATATGGCTTCAAACAAAGCATTTATGAATATGGGTAAGTTTCCCCAGTAAAGCCCCTGCTTTCTTTATTCAGGGAGATGCTGTGTTGGGAGCTATCTTTAGTGTGCTTCTGTCTTGAGGCAAGTAATAAAATTTTCTTCACTCTTTTATTTCCAGCATATGCTTATTGGCTTTATACTCACTAAGACATGAACCCATTGTGTTGAAGTATAGTTGCATTTAGTTGGTTAGCTAACTAGAAAATCTAGAGAATACATACTCAGTTTAAGAGGCTGCCAGTCAATTGTTGATAGAATTCTCAGCCATTTCAAGCAAAATCCAGTGTGTCATCAGGCCATTGCCTGCCTGCCAACAGCCCACCTGTTTGCAACCTTGCTATGCATGAACTTTATTAGAGATTTGAAATACCACATAGTCTGCCATCTTTATTAATCAATAAACCAAAGTTGAAAAGTAATAAATCATTTGCCTCTGGTCTCATCTGAAGCTTTTTCCCTTAACCAAAGTGATGAGGTCAGTGCTTCCTTTAACTGAGGATTTTGTTAAAGCACAGATTTAACAGGTTAGGAATGGGGCCTGAGATTCTGAATTTCTAATAAATGCCCAGATGACATTAATATGGCTGATATGGGGGCCACACGTTGAGTAGAATTAAGCTATGCTTCAGAAATTGGCAACTTAACTGATTGTACCACTTGGGAGAAATTTAGCTATCTCCTATACTTCTGACTTCTGGGAAGATCAGATAACACATTAATTTTGGTTTGTGACATTGAATTTTAGCATGGATGACTCTCTTTAAAAATTTTTTTTTTTGGTACTGGGGATCAAACTTGGGACCTTGTGCTTGCAAGGCAGGTGACAGAACCACTGAGCTAAATCCCCAGCCCTAAAATTTTTTTCTGAAAGAAAACCACTTTTATTACCCCCACCACACAGCTTATTTGTGCTGGATTATGTACCGAATGGCCAGATTGTCTACGGAATATTTACACAACATTTTTTTCATGTTTCAAGAGATGAAAATGACTACAAGATTAAGTGCAAAAGTATACAAGACAGTGGACACAAAAATATCTATGTGCGAGACTTTTATCCCACCTGCAGCTTTAATATATTTGAAAAGTAGAATTTATAAAAACATATTGTTTTTTTCCATTAAGTTTATTGGTACATTTTAGGTATACAATACAGTTACATTCATTATTGGGATCTTGTACCTTTACAAATTTTTTATTTTATGTGTACTACCCTCTAATTTCTCTTTAACTCCAATTAGCCTTAGGTTAGTCTTCTTATCAACATTTTTTGCTCTCTTATTTTTAAAGCATATTTGAGTATATCATCTTGGGCTTCTATTCTGTATTCCCATTCTGAGACTCCTCACATTGGTCATTTCTGTGTTCATACATTCAATAGAATTTTGGGATTTCTGTTTGGTACCTTCTCATGCAGTTTATTTCTTTGGTAAATGTGTCACTCATGTTTTGAGTAGTTTGGTCAGCTCTTCTAATTTTTGTTTCTTCTATAACCACATTGGTCAATTTGTTTGTTAGTTTCACTATCTTTGGGGTTATATCATCTTTGAGCTCAATGAATTTGTTTCCTCTTCAATCATTTCATGTAGATCAGCTATCTGGTGTTTGACTTCCTCTCCATTACTTCCCCTTAGATCTGCTTTGGGAGAGTTGGGAGTCTTTGGAGGTATTTTGCTCCCTTTCTTTTTCATGTTCCTATTTTTGGTATGTATGTACTGAGGGTTGAGGTCAAATAAAGTAAAGAGATCTTGTTGTTGGTATGAAAATACCTTCAGTTAGGTTCTGTTTTCCAGTTATGTGATTTTAGCTTTATTTGTTAAAAGGCACTGTCTACCACTTCACCATATTCAGTTTAATTGAGTTAGACCCACTCACTTTGTTGTAGGAAAGTAATTCCTACTGGTTATAACCGCATGCACAAATCCAACCATATATCAAGCATAAACATTAAAACCTGTTTGGACCCTTTAGCCCTTCTATCTGTGTTCTTTACAGACTATACTATACTGTTATTGGTGGTTATTCAGGTATGTGAAAGAAGAAGAGAAAGCAAGGGAGAAGGAAGATGTGTCAGTAGAAGGAGAGGGAGATAAGAGAAATGTTAGTAGGCAAAAAAAATGGATAAAAGGTCAGACTCTTGGAGGTATTTTCATAGCCAAAGGGTTAATGTTAAAGGTATTAAGAGAGTACTTGTGGAGGCAGGAGAAAATGCAGGGGGGATGTAACTAAAGATTGAGGAAAGCTGTGAAGTTGTTGAAACCTGTTAAAACAGTTGTGCTTGGTTTTGTCTGAATCCTCTGAGCACAGTTCTTTTAAGGGTTACCTCAACATGAACATAACTAGCATCACTATAGTTAAAGCACTGATCTATTCTTATTCTTTTTTATACAAATACAGGCACCTGCTATATATATATCTATATATATATATAGATATATATATAGATATATAGATAGATAGATAGATATAGATATAGATATATAGATATATGTACACTCATGAAAAGTGTAGAAGTGAAGGAAGCCAGGGGACTAGATAAAATAAGGAAGACCAAGGAGAATAGTATAGGGAGAATACAAATGTTAAAAAGAGAAGAAAGCAGACTGAGAGCAGAATAGAAGGAAAATAACAGGAAAAATTAAAACTTTTTTAAAAATAACTGATATAGAAGCAAGAACTGAAGGGAGAAAAGAGGGGGAAAAAACAGAGAGAACCCAGAACAGACACACAAGCAAATAAACAAAAACAAACAAACAAACAAAAACACACCAGAAAACCCAATACGGCCACTACACCACATAGCCAAAGTGTTCACACAATTTCCTTTCTGCTGTAGCTGTACTCCACTTGCAGGCACCCAAGCTGGTACACACACACACACACACACACACACACACACCTGTGGATTGCTTCACTGAGAGAGGTATCAGTCCTCTGGACCCACCTTCTGGCTGCAAGCCATACTTTGGGGATGTTTAACTACAGACCTTTGTCTCTATCCTGATATCCAACCACCTGAATTAATTTGGGGAGAGAAGGATGTGAAATAGTTTGCCCAGCTCCTGGCTCTCCATGAACTTCCACCAATGACCTCGCACTCCTCCTCCCTTTGCTGCCCAGCAAATCCCTCATTTGCCTCTGTGTTCTCCCTCCAGGGCCTTTGCATCTGGAAGCTCTCTGCCCTAGGACACCCACTCTGTTCCTTCACTCTCAGATCCCCAGATGTCTCTGACTCGGGAGCTTTGCTTTCCAACCGACAGAACTTGGCACAGTCCCTGGGCTCAGCAGAGGGTCTCTTTTGCCCATGCTGAACAGTGGTGGTGGTTAGGATTTCCTACTATCTCAGGTCTTTATGGTGTCTGAGGAAGCAATGGGACAATGCCCACTCTGGACTAACTCCATTCAGTCTCTTTCCTCCTCCATGTCTCTAGGGATGTGATTCCCCGGTCTCTGCCATCGGGTTTGGTACCTCCCATAGTTCATGATGTTCAGCCTCTCTCTGCCTAGGGCAGGAGGTCTTCACTTGTTGACAGTGGGTGTTGGGCACGATGCCACTGGGATATAGTTTTCTCCAGTGTTTTCGAGGATGACAGAGGAGAGGTACTGCCCATTTCCATGTTGTTATCCCTCTCTTTCTCCATTTGCCATTTGTGCTTCCTTGGGGTCCCAACCGCAGTTTAACTCCCACTCTAAGTTTCTTCTTCCAGAAGAGTACGTAGAGAACCTATCCCAGGATTTTGGCCTCTGGAGAATTGTCTGCTTTGCCAGGCTGTTAGAACCACTCCCAAGATAGAGTATTCCCCAGGTAAAAGATGGGGAGAGGGGTGTGGGCCAGAGGCAGTACCACTTTCCTTTCTCAACAACTTAGATATTTGATTTGATCTAGAGGATTCTTCATCTTTCAGGTTGATTTTCAGTATCTAGGTGTGATTGCCTCCCACATTTCAGAATACCTCCATGTTTTAGTGCCTCTCCTCTGTGCATCTCCAGCTCATCTCCTTCTCTAATCAGCCCTGTTGGAATCCATCCTCTATCACCTCTTCTATCCCTCCTCTTTTTATCTAGTTCAACATTAAAGTGTACAGCACTGATTAGCTCTTCCATTTGCTCTGACACAGTATAGTTCATAAACTGTTCTCCAGACCTCACTCATTTTAGGTAGAATTTTACTCATTTTCTCAACTCATTACATTGCTTGGGAAGATAATAAATCTGCCTTTTCTGAGAGGCTTTAATTATTCCTTATGTTTTTCTTTTGGATACCTTCTTATCCGTTGTCAACTTATTACCTGTTAGGAGGGGATTACTGAGAGTATTGGGATTTTGTTG